TGGCCAGTCTAGACACAGCCTATAAGTGTACTCTCTATGCCAATAGTTAAATTGCTGATGAAGATATTGAACAGAACTGGTCCTAAAACGACCCCTGCAGAACCTCACTTGTAATGCCCTTCCAGCAGGACTGTAAACCGTTAATAACTACTCTCTGAGAACAGTTATCCAGCCAGTTATGAACCCACTTTATAGTCGCCCTATGTAGGTTGTATTTCAGTGGTTTATTTATTAGCCTGGTGGTTAGGGCATTCTACGGTGTTTGGGGGCATTGAGTCTCAAGAGGAGAGTGAAGCTAGGTCTTCCACTTCCCATGTGAATGCTCTAACCATTGTACTACAGGATAGTCTAGGCGGTAAGGCTCTCTCTTTCCTCAGTTTCCCTCCAGCACCCACTCCTCTTGGAACTTTGCAAAAACCAAATTTTTGTTTCAAGGAATGAGAATATTTTTGTGCTGCCATTATATCGATATTATTATAGTCCCTCCTCTCCTCCTGTGTTATCTATTTATTGTGTGAGCAGCAGAAAGCCTGCCAGCACACCCAGTATGTAGCCTTCCTACTCCAAACCCTTTCCCCCTTCCCAGCTCTTGGCTATAGCACCAGAGGAGAGGGGGAAGAAAAGACCCCTGGTGGCCAGGGGAGACTGAGGGGAGAGAAAATTGCCCTGGCTGCTGGGGGGAGAGTGGAGGGAGAGAAAAGGCCCCTGCTGGATGGGATCCCCCAATCTGAACCTCTCCTCACTCCCCCACCTCCAGTTTCCTACTCCCCCCCACACATCCCCATGGCCCTGCCCTGAGTCCCGCACCCCCCACGCTGCCAGCCCCCTGCCCTGAAGGACACGGGCAAATACACAAAGTGGGGAAGGGGTGCATAATTAGGTCATTATAATTCTTAATTGCTGTAGCATATGCAAAAGGATGGGCTCCAAATAGGGCTACTGACAGGGGTGTGGGGACAAAAGGGGCAACCCAGTGATTTAAAAGGGTCTGGTGCTCCGGGCCACTGCTACTGTGGCAGCGCTGGAACCCTGAGCCCTTTAAATCGCCTCCGGAGTCCTATGTGGTGCGCTCCGGGTGGCACTAAGGGCTGGCAGGTGGAAGTGTGTGGCATGGTCTGAGCAGTGCTGAGGACTGGCTGCCCCCAGCCCTGCTCCTTCCACCTACGATCCACCCTTCTGGAAGCTCAGGGTCCCCCTCCCCTTGCCAAGAGGCCCGGCAATTCTGTCAGCCCCTTTGGCACCATTTATCTGCGCCGAGGCAGGACCACGTCAACCTCAGCCAGGCATGTCTCGGCCTGTGCTTACAATTGGTGGGTCTCACCCCAGCTGCCGTGTCCCTACTGCACTGCACAGACCTTCTCTCTCAGGGCTGAGGCGTGAGCTGGGTCTGCACAGCAAAGGTGGCCACCCTGGGTCCCGAGTCGCAGCAGGCTCTGAGTCACCCCTCTAGCAGGGCCTAGGTCTTGCTCATCCAAGCCAGACTGGTCTGGGGGTGGCCAGAAGGGAGGCTGAGTCTATGTACTGTCCCAACATACTCTCAGTGACTTGCCCAGGGCTACACACATAGTTTATGGTAGAGGCAAGAGTTGCAGCCTGGTTCTCTAAGGCCCTATGCAAACATCCTAACTACAAGGCCAGCCTCCGTGTCTGTCACATTTTAACTCATTCTCCTAGGATGCTAGGGGAAAAACAGGTGAGGCATTAAAAACCTTTTACATGAGCCTATACATTTGCTCTGTATTTTCAACTTCAGGTGTAACCTCTCTAGTCTGGCACCCTTAGGACCTAACCAGTGTTGAACCAGAGAATTTGCTTGACCATGGGAAGTAAATATTGTCTTGCAGTATCACCAACACATCCACTGCTTGCTGGGCTCTGAGGCTATGTCACACCCATGTTAAGTGGACATCTGGATAACTAAAATCATACCGGACCACAGATGTTGCCGGACCAGAGAGGTTCAACCTGTACAAAGAGAGGAAGATAATTGCCAGCAATTAGTGTCTGCGCTTCTGCATTCTGGGCACAGGTTCCAAAGTCCCAGATCCCCAAGAGGAATCTCCAGTGGATGTAACTCCCAAACCAGTGATTAAATCCCTTGTTGTCTCCTGTAGGTAAATTGGAGAAGCACTGAGGTCCGTCACCATTGCCTAATGCCCTGCATCCTAGGGGGACCATTCTGCAGTGAGTGTCAGCCATAGAACAAGGAGGATTGGTACCAGTCCCCCCTGCTTTGGGTTGAGGTTGGGAGCTTCTGTGCGTCACCCTCATGTCTTAGAACAGCAGTGAGGGCTCCCATACTGTGAGGAAACAGGTGAGTTTCGGAGACTTTGGCACAGCCCTTTTTGCCTAAATTACATGCTGAAGAATTGAGCTAGGAAGCGAAATTGTCCAGTTAGCC